TATGCGTAAATATCGAACGTATTTTTTTTTTCTTTTTGAAGAACCGTTATGACCTCGACCGTGTAAAACCTCGACAAATAGCCATTTTTCACTTAGAGATTTTTTTTCAATTAAAACATCTAGTATTGTTTTGAATATATAAACTGTTATTTTTTATCAAAACATAAAGTAAAATTTTAACTGTTTTAAGAAGTCAGATTTTAAACTTTATATTTCACCAAAAAAAAGAAGTTTAATTTTAACTTTTATATTTGACTCGCAAAATCACACGATTGCCGCTAATGCATCAATCTGGCACATTTTTATTGTGCTGAATTGGCGTACAATAAAGAAATTGTCCCAACCTCATTTCATACAATTTTTGATGCCCCCGGTTTATGTTTGATTGGGCACAATATTGGCTCTTTGCGGCAATCGTGTGATCCGGCCTTAACTGTAATTTTTGGTCGAAAATATATTATTAAAAAAATAACGGTTAATTGCTGAATTTTTGAAAAGGTCCACAAATTGAAATCATATACACACGTATGTACATAGGATTAATATTGCGTGGCTAGCAAGCATCATATTTCTAAATACAAAAGTTAAATAGACAAATTCTTTCCGACAGACTTTTTGGATTGAAATTTCGAAAATAACTATTATTTTTTAACCCTACTAAAATTTAATGGGCTATAAAATAAAACGGCATAGCCAGACTTATTTTTTAGATTCTAAATAAAAAGTTTGAAATTTTGATGATAATTTGGATAATTTTTCGGCGCCATTCCGGGATCCTTCGTTTTTCATTTAACATTTTTTTTGGGTATTTTCGAGACTTTCTCGAAATATGTCCGGTACTTTGGGGATTCTTCGTATTTCATTTTCCGTAACTTTCGGGAATTTTTCGGAATTTTCTGTTTCGAAAATAGATTAAAAACTTAATCTTGCATTTTATGAATGCCAAAAAATATGCCGGTAATTTGCTGCCTACAAAATTTTTTTACAAGTTTGCCCTTTATTTTTGTCATGAAAAAGCAAAAAATTTAAATTTTTTCCAGTTCAAAATAACAAAAGCCGACAGATAACTTAAATTTGTAATTAAATATTTTAATTTTTATTATAAAATGCATACTTGGTATGTTTTTATTCGGGTAATTTTAGTACCCTTCATGACTTCATATACATATAATTTAATTATGGTAATAATCACCATTCGAACACTTCAATAGCCATACGGTAACACTTATGTAATACAATAATCCAAATCATTGAAGTTGATGGTATCGTTTCATATGGATTTTTTCATTTGTATTTCCAACCCAGTATTAGTTTGCCAATATGTGAATATCTCGCATTCAACAATTAACAAAACAGTTAACCTTAATGACAATTCAAACACATTATCCTTTATAGTAGCACTTAGCATTGTCCATTTACATGCATGTTGCGTTTACTGTTGCTTTGCGCGAAGTTCATTCATTTCAATGTCAAACGGTAAATTAAACAAAAACGATGCAATCAAGTAATTTAGTATTCGGCGATTATTTTATTCGCTTGAGTAGACACAAGGAGAAATTGGTAACTTTTTTGTCGGTACACCTCGTGCAGATATCGAGATTCTGTCTGATACATACATATGTATGTACTTATATATATGCATACCTTCATATGTGTATAATATATGTATGTATGTACTGATGAAAATATGCTAAACCGTTGCAACTGCCCAACTGATAAAACGTTGCTAGAATTTCACACCGAACGTGATACTTTAATAATTCGCCCAACATTGCGGTTGTGATTGCAACCCGAACAAGGCCGTACTTATAAGGTTTGTTATCCAACCATAGGAATTGTAAAATCGAACTCCTTAACGATTCAATGAGACATTAATATATCTGTGGCATTTTATTAAAACGTTATTCTAAATTGGCCATTTTCCAATTTTGAAGGGCAACTTATTATATTTTAATTCAAAGCCAAACCCTCTAAAGTCACTTAAGTGGTGTTGATAAAATACCACAGATAAACATAATTCCACACTAACTTTTTTTAGAAACTGTTCTCTTTATTGTTTTATAATTTAATTTCGTTAATGAACATCTTCTGATTACAAATATAAAACTTCAATAACTCTTTTTGTCTTATTGAAAGATAACTTTCACATTAGCATATTAATAAATTCAGATGAATCAACTATGTAATATAAAAAGTTAGACATTTAAGCCTTGTATGCCCGTGTTCTAGTTTTGTAAATCATTAACACGAAACCAAAAGAGACGAACTTAAGATGTTGCTGCATAAACGTCTTAAAGTAAACTTTAGTATATAAAGTTTATTTTCCACAAAGGAGATTGTGCTCTCACGTGAATTGAACAGAATAGAATATGAATGCGTTTTAGTAAGCGTGTTTGGCAAGTTTTAAAAAAATATAAAACAAACATAAGACCTACACACACTGCTTCGCACATGAATCGTATCGATGGTAATGGGAAGAATTTTAGAGTACTATTCAGACTTAAAAATAACTTGTATTTATCGAAAACTAATAATTCTCAAATTTCGCATACAAATAGGAAAAACAATATCTTAAAAAAGAAAGCTCACAAAACATACGTTAAGCGATTATGCGTTTTAATTTGAGGTGATTCTTTTGTTGGTGTAACTGCTTTAAGTTACAGTCTAGTGAAGTCTAATCATCACCAGCGGTACGTTTCACTTTTCGCTGCTTAGGGCTCTGACCCTGCTTTGGGCTGCTCTGTTTGCCTGGCTTTGGCGAAGTTTTTAGTGCCTTGGATTTAGGTGGCGATTGCTCTGAAATATAATAAAATAGAAACATTTAAGATTATTTCGAATACAAAGTGTAAACAAACAATATAACTTACGCAGCACACGCAATGTTTCTTGTGGCAGCCACTCATATTCGATGTTGCTGTCGTTAGAAGTGCCTGTTTCGATTGTCTTTTTAGCGGCAGCACGCTTCCTCTTGCCCGAAGAGCCTAGGAGGTATTGCTGACCGATTACCAGCAACAGTACAACAATACCAGCCAATAGCACGTACAAGAAGAACGTTTCACCATCCAATCCTTCATCTATTTCGGAAATCAACACTGTTTCATTGAAAACGGCTTCGCTGAATTGGCCTCCAAGGGAATCATGATAATTCAAAGCAATATTTAAGCCAAATGGGCGGCCAGCGAATGTGTCGGATGGCAGGAAAGAGTAAGCAACCGTAGCCTCCGAACCAGGTTTTACTTCACGATTGTATGCGACAGCTGAGAAGTTCTGTATGTGATAGTTGAAGTCCATGGGATAGCGGAAAGAAGCTTCCACGGTTTCGATGACGAAATCATTTTTGCCTTTATTTGTGAAACCAATAAGGAATTCAACGGGTTTGCCACCTGGTAAATCCAATTGTTGTCCAGCCGTATACAAGGGCTTCGTGAAAAGCAAAAACGTGTCGGCATAAGGAGAAGTGGTCGATGTAGAATCAGGGTCTTCATCTGCTTCAACGTCCTCACCGGTCACGGCGCCATCTTCGGCCTCCACATCTACGAGGTCATCCTCCGCTGAGCCATCAGCAAACGCCACAAATTTGTGTTCTATAAAATGGGTATTAGATTAATGGTATGTACATTTTTTTAAAACCGTATAATAAATTATGTTTTTTTTAGATATATAATATTTAAACAAAACACTTGAGTTACGATTATATTGCCAAACTTTACAACAGTGCGTTTCGGCCAGCAATCGTCTGCTGCCACGTCGATGGCTTCCCCCACCGCGCAGCACCCGACAGCAAAAACATCTTATTATTTACTCATTTTGTGAATTATACTTACGCGCATTAAATGTACAAATAAGTGCTGGCAGTACCAGCAATAAAAGTAGTAAATTGCTTTTCATTTTTATTTATTTTCCGTGGCGAGACTCCAATTGGAAACCTAATTCGAGAGATGCGGCAAACACAGCCAATACGTTTGACAGAAAGAAAATGTTTAGCAGCAAAGCAGTGAACAAACCGAACAACGACGATCAACACACGAAATTCATCGCTCAACTTTCACTTGTCAAATTTGCTAAACTCTACACAGCTGTTACGTGGTGCGGCTTGTTAACGAAACTCTACACGATAATATGACACTGGAGAGATTCACGGAGGCGTTCTGAAAGCAATAGCGGCATGAAGCGGCCCTTGGAATATTTCGATTGTGGCCGTAGCGATCGCAAAGGCAAAGAATTCCATTTGTATTCTTATGGATGCTCACACACATCTGTCAAAACTTGTCGTTCACATGCGAATGCTTTGCCTACGCACAGTTGAGTGTGAGCTTGATAAATAGGCATTTTAAATTAGTTTTTATTCTATAACTATGAAAGATATTTTATTTCTCTATCTTTTGCTATCAACTATTGCAAAAAGTAATAACGAAGATGTTGGTCCAAATAAAAAGCTCACCACGCTCGCATTGAACTGTATAGCAGGCTTAATTCCCACGACAGTCGGGTCTACGTAACCGGAACGACCCAGATTTATATCTGGCCAAGGACTGTCACTCCAGCAACACTCCCCAAAACTCTATGGGGAACTTGTATGCTGCTACAACACGTTCCCACGACAGTCGGGTCTACGTAACCGGAACGACCCTGATTTATATCTGGCCAAGGACTGTCACTCCAGCAACACTCCCCAAAACTCTATGGGGAACTTGTACAACAACAACAACGTTCTTTTTTTTTGAGATTTCAATAAATTAGCTGTGGTGCAGAGACCACATTGCCAGATCAGTCTGTTTACGTTCTTTGTAACGAGTTGTCCCTTCTTATAAACTTACCTTCTTTGGCATAACTTAACTACTACTCAAATCGTCCAACTGGTTGGCGCGTTTATGGAGAATTTCGTTAAGTAGGTTGGTCGACTGATTGGCCGATAAATCAATGCGTGTGTAGGACTTTTTAGTTGTGTACGGAAAATCTCATAGGTGCTGCCAAGTTCTAAAATTCGTGCAAATTTATCGAAAGTAAACGACACCTCTTTCTTTTGCTTCCGGCTGTCACTTTGCTCGTTTGCTACACGTGAAATTTTCGCGAAAAATCTTCACTTTTTACAAAAAAATATGGATAAACCAGTTGTGTGGGCTCGTGTCATGAAAGTTCTGGGACGTACTGGTTCTCAGGGCCAATGTACACAAGTGAAAGTTGAATTCATCGGTGAACAAAACCGTCAAATCATCCGCAACGTCAAAGGACCCGTCCGTGAAGGTGATATTTTGACCCTGCTGGAATCTGAACGTGAAGCTAGAAGACTTCGCTAGTCGAGCAAGGAATGTGATGAGAGATCGTTTGTTCATTTATTAGTTGGTGAGTTATTTCAAACATTATCCAAACTCCATTACAATGTACTAATAAGTATTGTTTTCTGATTACAGCTATATATGCCATCTTGTCGGATGAAATGCTCTTCAATGAGATATTAATTACATACTTGAAGATGAATAAACAGGTCTTTTAGTATAAAACTGTATTTTTGTTTCAAAAATATGTGGACTATCTTTATGACGAAAGAATAGTGTTTACATACTGACCGTAATTAAGAGTGTAAACAGAACTTAAGAAAGAAATAGTCCGAATACAATTTTTTTGATGCCGAGAGATAGCAATTGCAATTTCCTATTATTGGCACGTCGGCTTTGGACGTAAAAACTTGCAATAGCTTAGACCTGTAAGTAAATGTTCCTCGAAGTCTTCAGACGGCTCCAGTGATGCTTTATATTCCTCAAGAACTAACAAATCCAGCGGATCTAGTTGGTGGCTCAGGTACTTCAATTTTAAACTTAGGGCGTGCATATATTTAAACAAGTCATCTACCAATTCTATAAAAAATGCTAGTGGCCTGTGAAATGTGTCACCTAGTATCAGTGGCGTCTCCATTGTCAAATCTAGAAGTTTGTGCAGTGAATTGAAAACAATGCATTCTTGACGCAGCTTTTTCAGGAAATCTGAAATACAGCAACTGTAGGAAAATATTAGGAACATATAATGCATAAATATTTTTATACTTAAAAACTCACTTGGAAGAGCGTAGCTGGCGAAGTTTGTCTGAATATTCTCTTAATAAGATATCCTCCGTAGGTCCAGAATACACCTCCGGGTGTTTGCAGCAACCGTTGGTGCTAATTAGTATAACATAACGCTGAGATAGTACCCATAAGCGATTTACAATGTCTTTCTGAGACACCATTTCTCGCTTTGTTAGCGCAAGGTGTTCGCGAAACAATTCTTCGAGCTTTAGAAGTTGTCGCAGCGTCTCTTCTTCTTTCTGGTAGTGGTCACGTATGTGTACGTCAACGTCTTCACTAATTAGCGTCATTGTAACTCCGAAATGATAGAATCATAAAAAAATTCGTAAAAAATATTAAATATTATTTTCAAATATATGTATATAAAAAATAGGCAATTGGTGCAGTTTTTACAGATAAGTAGTTTTAAGGTTATGTGTGCTGCCAAACTCATGTTGTTGTTGTTGTTGTAGCGGCTGTTGTCAACAGACGTGCTGCCAAGTTGTGAAAAGCTAGATTTTATTAAGCCAAGGGCGCATTTTTTCAATCCACAGTGTTAACAGAAATGTAATATTTTGGTTATTAGCATTTGTTGACGACGTTATCAATACATTCAGGATTTTTAGTCCGCATGCAAGTACATCCAAGTTTGCCAATTTTCATGAATTCGTCATATTTCATTGTCGGGTCTAATAGAGCTTTATATTCATCTAATGCATTAGCATCCCCTATATCCAGCAATTGGGCCCAGCATTTCAATTTGCACAACACATCATTGAAATAATCAAACGCATCATCGATTAAATTGCGATAATATGAAAGCGGTTGGATTTTGTAGTCCCCTATAATAAAAGGACTCTCGACCGTCATATCCAATTGAGAGCACAGAAGATTCAGTTTTTTAATGGCAAATCTAAATGCATCTAATGACGAGCTTAAACGGCAACTGAAAAACTGATATTCAGCATATTTACTAATGAATTGAGTACGTTTATAGTTACTTAGAAATATTAACTGCATTAAACTTTTTTTGAAATTCGCATTGCGTTTCCTTTTCCACTGGTACAGAAACTATCTCCGGGAATGGCTTGACGCAAAGATGAAATCTGTACATTTGTTTAAAATGCAATAACAGGTCTATTCTGCACGTTACCGAAAATTTTATAACCGGAAAATTTTATTATCAAAAAATTTTACCAGTTCTTGTCACCACGAATCTAGGTATGTTGGTAATCCAGTTAAAATATTCAGCAATTCAGCTATGAAGAATTGTGGAAATTCCGGCATTGCATATTTCACGGGGCAATACTTTGTTACCAGCTTATGAGATGGTAACAAAATTTACCGATTACAAGAGTACACAAAATGCGAAGAGGTTTAAAATTTGAGAGGAACTTTATTTACCGGTTACAAAATTTTTATTACCAGCGCAGAATAGACGTGTAAGCATGATAAAAACATGCTTGTAAGTAGTTGAAAAAACTAGCAATTGGAGAACTTACTGAGTTAATAGCAAAAATCTTTGCGAAAGCTTCCACATTTGTTCTATGAGGCTGCGCTGAAAGACTATCTCGTTATCTAATTTATTTTTGTGCTTGTGAATTAGGTCCTCAATTAATAGCAATTGTTTCGAAACATAATTTTCAAGTCTATAATCGCACTTCGTATACAAAGTTTTGCAGTGCTCAAAATTCGGTATTAACTTTACCAGTTCTTTCGTCTCACGTTCAGGGTACAGCCAACAATGCTTCTTATTTCGTACCTTAACTTTCCGCTCGATATATGGCTCTGGAAAACACCAGCAGTCTAGTTTCTCGCATTCGGGAGCTTTATTTTTAAATGTTTTTCCTTCGTTGCATGCCATAACGGATGTTCTAGTTTTTGTTTTATATAAACGATCCAATAGTTTATTCAAAATAATTTCTTCTAAATTTTGAAAAAAATAAATTTAAAAATTTCTGATAGACAAAGTATCGACGAATATTTTTTTCATCGAAATGTATCTCCTTGATAGCTCGATATTTTTTTGATGATTGATAAAAGTATGTTTACATATAAATATCTCAATCAAAGCTCGTGTTTGATCACCCCGTTCACACAGAAAAATTCAAATTACTTGCCGGCAAATTTGTTGTGCTTGTGATTTTCACATCCAAAGGAGAACTTAAAGTGTGTTTGCATTGTTCTACTTTGCGTTCAACATTTGCGTTCAACTCAGCGCAGGGTTGCACGAAAAAAAGTTGAATGGCTAAAAATATCAAAATATGAAAAAATATCAAAATATTCGCCATAAAAAGGTGTTTGCATTGTTCAACTTTGCATTCAACTTTTGGTTGAATGGCCTTTCAACTAATCGCCTTCAACAAAGTTGGTCGCCAGCCAACATTTAGCCATTCAACTTTTTTTTCGTGCAACCCTGCGTTGAGTTGAACGCAATTGTTGAACGCAAAGTTGAATAATGCAAACACTGCTTTAGGTTTCTTCTCTGTGCCACCGTGATAACTGTTTGATGCTAAAAGCCCAAAATACAATAGCGCAGTGGCAGTGGCAGTGACAGTTTTTAAAATCAGCTGTTACTGCTAATATTGGCAGTCACTGCCGTAGCAAACACAATACGGCGTTGTCAGTTACTGCTTTTTTGACATTCTCTTTTGTTTGTTTACATTTTTGTTGTTACCTTTTAGGCTTCAAGTGACATCAACAGATGTTGGCTGCGTTTCATTTAGGTCAAATTCAGCATGCGAAGTTTGCTGCGATGAAGGCAGTGGCAGTGAATTTAAAAATTGGGCTAAACTATACGTTCTCTGAGGTTGCATTTAGGCTATCTGCACACTTGTCGTCCAATCATAGTTGCGTTATCGTCTCGCCCTGAAATTTTGAGCCGAGCACATGCATTTCAAAGGAGATCTGCACACTTGTCGTTATCGGCTAGTTATCGGCAAATCGTAGAAGATGCAGAAACGGATAAGTACGGCACTGTCGTTTGCTAATCGTTGTGCACGCATTGTTTGTTTACATTTTATGGGGGAAAATTAGTGAAAAGGTTAATATTTGCATTAAAATTGTATAAAAATTAGTATTTTTTTGCATAAAATCTGTGGAAATTATTAAAAAAAGGATAATTGCATTAAAATTTAATAAATATGAGCGTTTTAACTATAAAATATGACGAAATTGTATTAAGTCTCTGTGTGCATACACAAAACACATTCCAGGAAAAGAAAAGAAGAGATATTACTGGAAAATTACGTCTAGAAATGTTGCAGCACAGTCTATATTTAAAAAATTGCAGGTTTTTGTAAATATTTCGCGAAAATATCAACCAAAAAAAACAGAAAATACCTGCTCCAAGTGAATTTTTAGACGCCAAATGAATTGAAATATCACGACCAAGTGTGCAGAAGTGTAATCGTCATGTAATCGTTGCTTCATGACGATAACTATGACTCAACTATGATTGGACGACCAATGAGCAGAAAGCCTTACGCATGAACGAAAGACACAAGATCACGCGGGAAGGAAAAAACGAAAAAAGTTATTTTCTAGCTGCCGAAATCTCGACGCCATCTTTGTTGTAAGAAGTAAACAACGAAGAGAAAACCGCGAAATTGTTGAACGCATGAAAAATCATTTTTATTATGCAAATTCTTCTATAAATCATGCCGTTGTGTTAAATTATTCTTTATCTTATGTGTACACACGTTGTCACAAGTGAAAATGAAGAAAATTGCAGTAAAAAGCCACCACCAAATTGTAAACAACGAAGAAATGTAAATAAACGGCTAATGTCAAAATCGTTCAACTTTTTTCCTTAATGCGATTCTAACGGGCTAGTCTCCAGCCCGCGTGATCTTGTCTTTTTGGTTCATGGCATTTACGAAGGACAGAGAAAGTGCAAGAATGCAATCCCTTGTTGCGAAAATGGTACTAGAAAAGTACGCAAAGTAGGCAATAAGTAGTGAAATTCCTTTTGTAAATTCTAATGTATTTGCAGGAAATCTGGCATTTTAAACGAAATGTTGAACGTAATATTGATATATCTACGTGATTTACGTAATTTATACGCTATTTAGCTGTATAAAAACTGCAAAATGACTCAAAATTAAAATAAGACTACTAAGAGATTGATGTAAACATCCAAGGCTTATGTTTCCATCAGTTAAATATGCTTCATATGCATGCACAAATAAACATATTGCACAAAAGCTTATACTTTTATTTCAACCAAAGCTACACTGTTTCCATGTAAATTTGCAAAGAAGCAACACGGTGCCACTGCTAAGGGAGCGGTGCGAGAGAGACAACTGTCAGTTTATCGAACCTTGGTGCATGCGTCTGTCATTCTAGTATGAAATTGTCCTTGTTTTTATTTTCTTTTAGCACTTTTGCTGCCAACTATTTTTGCATAATTAACCAAATTTGCTGAAGGACCAGCTCGGGAGTGCGAAAAAATGGTTTTTAAGTGTCAAGAAGACAGCTTTTTGAGACAGGCAGGTAAAAATACTACAACTTGAACAAAACTTTACAAACCGTTTTTAGTTTGCATCAAAAGTAGTGTCGTGTGAACCGGCAACGTTGGAATGGACGCCGCTTGGAGAAACTAGTGCAATAAAACTTCAAGGCTTTAATGTTATATGCGAAGATACAATTCTTTTTCCTGAAGGTGGCGGACAACCATGTGATTACGGTGAGATCAATGGTCAATCGGTGCGTTCTGTAGTGCGAAAAGGCACAGAAGCAGTGCACTTTGTAGAAGGGTACTCAGGATTTGAAGAAGGTATAGTTGTGAAACAATCACTTGATTGGAGTCGCCGTTTGGATCATATGCAACAACACTCGGGCCAACATCTTATAACGGCATTATTTGACCGCGAATTCAAATACGATACGGTATCTTGGTGGTTGGGATCAGACAGCTCTTATATAGAGTTGGATACATCACATTTGATTAGCCGAGAGTCTCTGGACACTATTGAGCGTAAGGCAAACGAACTTATACGCGAGGGCCGGGAAGTCACCGTACTGCTAGTTGATCCCGAAATAGCAGTGGAGGTAAAATACTCGAAAAAGTTTATTTTGTTTTTTATATTTTTATAATTTCTGTGTTCGTATGGAAAAGTAGCTTATGTCGAAAGGCTGGCTTTAGTATAATTCGGCATTCATAGCATACGATTGCGAATGATTCACTAGCGCTGAGCCGTTGAAGAACTTTTGGCAAATAAACGCGCAAGAAATAGTTCCGAAGTCAATATTCTTATTGGCTGAATTTCTTTATTCATTCTGAACGTTTGGAATAAACTTTTTTGTTTACTTATTCTTTAGAACGTTCCTGATGATATGTTAACGTATATTTCAAACACATTCTGTTTATTCCGGCTGTGAAATGAGATTATCCGGAATGTATAAAGAAACGCAGCCATTAAGTCTCATCAAAAAATTCCTTGCCTTCCTTAAAGAATAAAGGGAATGCCGAATTATACTAAAGCCAGCCTTTCGACATAAGCTACTTTTCCATGCGAACAATGATTTATTTTCATCCGTTGTCTTTTAAAGTTTCAAGATGCTCGTGCACCACGAGGGTTACCCAAAGATCATATTGGACTGGCTCGTGTAGTACGAATTGAAGGAATTGAGAGTAACATGTGTTGTGGTACTCATGTTAGCAATCTATCTCAGCTGCAATGTGTAAAATTGTTATATGCCGAAAAAGTTAAAAGCTCAGTGTATGTACACTTTGTAATTGGAGAGCGTGTGCTACGAAAGCTTGGTGAAATCTTTCAGCGGGAGCAGCAAATGAATCTAGCGCTAAAGTATGTAATATTTAATCCGAATTATAAATTACTGAATTAACTTAACTAATTTATTTTTGTAATTAGGGGTGGTCCAACACAGCATTTGGATTTGATCCAAAAGCTACAGACTAATTTAAAATCATCCGCAAAGGCATTTCAGAAACTGTTAAAAGACGTTGCGATTTCCGAAGCTGAGAAAATAGAGAATACACCCCATCCCTACCCAAAATATTACTGTCTACATCGAAAGGACGGTATTGAACCTGACTTCATAAATACGTTTTTACGGAATGCACCTGAGAATATTTTCTACTTCCTCACCGTATCGGAAAATACCACCAATAATGGTAAAGGTCTCATGGTACTTAGGGGAGAAAAAGAAGATGTGCAGAAATTTGGTCCATTATTCCTGGAACTGTTACAAGGCAAAGGGAATGGTCGCGAAACAAATTTTCAAGGAAAATTTAATAATGGGAGCAAAATTCCAGAATGTAACGCTTTGTTGGAAAAACATTTTAACGGCAATAAAGACCCTAAACGAGTATAATAAATATACACTTTCGGGATAAAAATAAGATTAGTGTAGGTATTCATTATTTCTTTTGTCTTGTTAAATAAGTTGCTGGGAATTTATTAACAATAGCATTTTGCACGCTGTCATAATAAAACTCAATAATAACTCTTAAAGCTAGATATTCCGTTAAACGTAGTATGTCGAATTTATAAGTAATTTACGTCGAAGTTACGCATTTTCCACTCAAGCCGCCAATAGTGATCCCAAAAACCAATGTCTAGAATACGTTCCCAGAAATTCGTATAATCGACTTGTGTATATTTGCATATTGCTGGAAAAGTACAGTCGTCCTTGTCATACAAATCCGTCCATAATATTGTACAAAAACCTAGTGAAAATGTACGCAGTTTGTTTTCATTGATGGCTTTTTCAAGTTCTCGAAGGTATGATTCTGATACAGGGTTTCGCAGTGTTTTTGGTACCATTGCCATTTGGTTAGTCCAACCACGAAAGGAATGCATGAACGCTTCTTCGTCTGGATTGTGCCGGGCACATTGGTACAGGCCGTAACCTGTACTGGCAATTGCCAGAGCTTTACGCGGTTTCGCTCGAGCTCCTTTGGCTACATCGACAACAACATCTGTATAATCACTAACAAGACCGCGCCAATATTGTGCCCATTTTTCCACTACGGTGCCTTTAAACCGTTCGGGCAATGTGAATTTATCGCTTATACGCGTTCGCAAACTTACCAAACGATTTTTTATTGAAAATAAACGCATTTTTAACTAATTACACAACTTTTTTGGCAACTATTTATTTTTTAATAATTTACTCGCGTTTTTTCGTTATAACAGCTGATTTCAATTTAGGTTAGATTCGTATAGTTATGGACAAATGTTATCGATCCAAAAACAGCTGTGATGGAGGTTCTTTCCCGTAATCAACGCGAGATCCCGCGGGCGCCCCAAATAGCCCAGAAATCATTCCCGTACTCAACAAAATGGGTAATAGAGAGCGAAAATTGGAACGTATTGGATCGTAAGTGTCTTCTTCTTCCTGACCGAAACAGCCCGGACTAATTCTCCGGGTAAAAATGGATAAAAGGAGCGTTCCTTATCTCCCAGAAATAGTCAGAAAAAGTCCGAAGTAGTCAGATTTAGTCCAAAAAGCATTCCTTAACTCGGAAATGACAGCAAAAATGAGAGAGAAACACTCAGTGAGAGTGACTCATCAGTCCGAAGTAGTCAGATTTAGTCAGAAGAATTTTTTCTGGCAAAATCCTGAAAAGTGTCAAACTCAACTGAATTTATATTAACGGAAATTAAAGAATACGCAAAAAGTGAGAATAATCTAAAAAGTAAAAAATGTGAACTAAAATTGGAAGGAGGCAAAAAGTAATTGATATAGTAAGTGTTTATTGTGCTTGTGTGAATGTGTTTTTGTACATACATTTCCATTCTTATTTGGCGTTAGTTTGTTGTTGCCATTCTTTGGACTAAAAATTTGGTTTTTTGCGTTCCTTTACTTTCCTGTTATTCTCTTTTAGTGAGCGCATTTTGCTTACGCTCTGGCATTTTGACACTTTTCAGATTTTAGTCCAAAAAGATAAGGAATGAACCTAAAGGGTCAAAGTGCATATCAGATGCTTTGTGTTTACATGTTGCCTGCATTTACTTGGTTCTTTTAAGGAATAGTGAATGGCCTCTTTATATACCATGGTGTAATAATAGTTGCGTTCGATAACAAAATTAGCCAACGATCAAAATCAAGAGAGTAAGCGAAAATTCTCTCCCAAAGAGATGAAAAAGCAAAAAGTAAACGAACAGAAAATTAGCCATTACTTGCAAAAACCGGAAGAAGAAGACACACTAGCTAACTTTGTTTATGTTTTATTTGTAAACAAACTGAAATTCATGTTGCCTCCATAGAAGAAAAAAGGAAAGTGAACGTTCAATGTTCGCCAGGAACATTTCTAGAAGTAAAAACTAGTTGGCGCTATCACAAAGTCACATAGCAGGCAGCCAAAAAGCATATAAATACCAAAACTAGGAAAATGCAATTTAGTTTGTTTACAAAAATTGCAACCATATGTTTTCGTGTTGCTGACTAAAATTTTGCCAGTACAAAATGAACGCTTCTCTTGCATCAAAATGAACGCTTGCTCTCTCAATTTTTGTGTCCTGGATAATTTTTTGTCGTTATCGAACGCCATCCAGTAAAAATTTGGAAAACCATGCTGCCGCTCGGTTCTAGTGTATCTGTAGTCCATTTGGCTCGATATTATGACAATGCAGCAAAAGATATTTATTTCGATACATCGAAATACTAAAATGGAATATTTTAGATACTATTTACCAACGAATAGTAGTATAAAAATTAAGATCGGCTGCACTGAAAATAAGCACGCCAATCTTGTCAAAATTACAACAAACACGTCGCTACTGACAACACCTTGTTATTATTCCACCATGTATATACTTAAAATCAAATTTATGAAACAAAAATTCAATTTCGAAGAGTTTAAATTTAAGTGACAAAAACAAAAACAACGCGAATCAGCTGTTTCTAAAATTCTGGGCACGAAATAAAAGAACCTAAAATAAATAAAACATGAACGTTAACCGACAAGCCTACATTTGTCAAACAGCTGATACACATTTATCCCGATAGTGAATTTTGGAACGTGTTTAAGGTTTGTTTTTAATTAGATCAAAGGACGAAAATTTTAAAGGCTCATTAAACGCAAGGCGAATCCATACTAGGTGGAGTTAATTGATCAGCTGATTGGATATTTTTGTATCCAAGATTCAAGAATACAAGGTTCGATAAACTGACAGTTGTCTCTCTCGCACCGTGTTGCTTCTTGCAATTTTACTTTGAAAAAGTGTAGTTTTGGTGTGAAATAGAAGTATAAGCTTTTGTACAGTATGTTTATTGGTATATGCGTGTGAATCATATTTAACTGATGAAAACATAAACTGTTTTAAAATTGGATGTTTACGTCAATCTCATAGTAGTCTTATTTTAATTTTGAGACATTTTGCAGTTTTTATACAGCTAAATAGCACATAAATTACGTAATTCACGTAGATATATCAATATTACGTTCAACATTTCGTTTAAAATGCCAGATTTCCTGCAAATACATTAGAATTTACAAAAGGAATTTCACTACTAATTGCCTACTTTGCGTACTTTTTTACTACCATTTTCGCACCAAGAGATTTCATTCTGCCCCTTTCTCCGTCCTTCGTAAATGCAACCTTTTGTAAGGGAGTGTCAAACCGCGGCTGTCAATAATAATCTCATGATTCAATAATACAAGGTTAGATAATTATTGACAGCTGCGGTTTGACACTCCCTTACAAAAGGTTGCATTTACGAAGGACAGAGAAAGGGCAAGAATGCAATCCCTTGTTTCGAAAATGGTAGTAGAAAAGTACGCAAAGTAGGCAATTAGTAGTGAAATTCCTTTCGTAAATTCTAATGTATTTGCAGGAAAACTGGCATTTTAAACGAAATGTTGAACGTAATATTGATATATATACGTGAATTACGTAATTTATATGCTATTTAGCCGTATAAAAACTGCAAAATGACTCAAAATTAAAATAAGACTACTGTGAGATTGATGTAAACATCCAATGCTTAGGTTTTCATTAGTTAAATATGCTTCATATGCATATACAAATAAACATATTGCTCAAAAGCTTATACTTTTATTTCACACCAAAGCTACACTGTTTCCATGTAAATTTGCAAAGAAGCAACACGGTGCCACTGCTAAGGGAGCGGTGCGAGAGAGACAACTGTCAGTTTATCGAACCTTGTATTATTGAATCATGTAATAATCTAACCTTGTATTATTGAATCATGTCAATAGGAATGCTCGATATCTTGTCGATTATTCTGAATATCGATATTTCATGGCACGATAATCGATTTTTTGAATCGATATTCCAAGGTCGATATATCGAAGACATCGATACTTTACCCGCAATATCGATATTTAAGTTGAAATTTATTTTTCATCTACAAAAAAGTGTATGGTAAAATACTAAAGTAGGTTTAATCAGCAGCTTGTGTGATTTATTTATCACTTAAGTTTGACCAACCGCTTGAGTCGACCGGCATGCCGTTTTAATCCTCAGTAAATATACAAGATGGAAGTAACACAATTGAGTGAGTTGCTAGGCGGCCTAATACCATGTTCTGACCGACATCGAAAACATGTTTTCGTTGCTAAAACTGGTTTTCGACCTAAAACTTGTGTTTTCGTCCATGTAAAATCTGTCAAACGAAAACCAGTTTTCGCTGAAGACTACTTGAAAACTCACGTTCCACTCAGTCCAAACGGTGTCTTCACTAGTTTTTTTCGATTATTTATCAAAGTGGAAGTCATATTTTATCATACGCCATTTCGGAATTATTGTTAATTGGTTGGCCTAAGTAAAATAAGAATGAAAGGAAGAGGTTGTAAATGAATAGAAATTCAAGGAAAAGTATTTTGGTTCTGTTTTTGTGTAGCAAAACTGTAATCAAAAGATGTAAGAAACGTCAACGAAAACGCTAACAGCCGGTGTGAACACCCTTCAGCCCACAATCCCAAAACTCGTTTTCAAAGTGTTTCCGTTGTCGGTCAGAACTTGGTATAATATTCTATTCAATTGGGAGTAGGATTAGGTTCTTTCCTTAATAATCCGCACCGGATCCGGTAATAAGAGAATAAGCGAAAAGTTTGCTCTCAAAAATGGAACCTAATCCAGAAGAACGCCAAAAACCACATTTCGTGCCCAGAATTTTTCAAACAGCTAGTGATGTGCTGAATTTTCGGTACCCAATACTAGGTACCCAATACTTAAAAAAGATTTCGGTACCCAATACTTCCTTTTCGATACCCGATACCGATTCTTTACATTAAACCTTCGCCATTATATGCATTTCAAGTTTACAAAAAACTTTAATTACTAATTTATATGATATCGGCTAAAACACTTGAACTTATCGCAACAGAGAAATATTATTTGATCAGTTTTAATCTTAGTTGATCCAAGGTTCAAGAAAAATGCTTTTACGGATGAAGAAGCCTTTCAGGGGGGAGATTCTGTAACCAGTTAGCGACAAGTTTCGGATCGATATCGCACTTGTTGACGTAAAAATATTTCATATCATACGTCAACAAAACCGTAGCCGATTCGAAAATTGTCGCTAACTGGTTACAGAATCTGCCCCAGGCCTACAAAAATGATATCGTCCAATTCAGCTGGAACAAAAATGCCTCAAACAAGTAAGAGTTTCTCTGCATTATGGCCTCGAACCGACATATATACATCTTTCATTTGAATCCGTATGAAAAGCTCTATTGGCTCCTACATTCGGGTTTTTATAGGCGAGTCTCCCCTGAACGGGTTTTTCCATATTTTTGGCCTATGTGCGCTTTTATTCGAAACCTAAATGTTTCGGTTCCGAGTATCGAGAGTATTGGATACTTTTTAAGTCGGTACCGAATGTCGATCAATACTTAAAAGTATTGACTCAGCACAT